GTCAGTCAGCAGAAGAATCCTGTCAGCTTTGGAAGCCATATTGAGATTCGATGCTCCCACACTGCCACAAGCCTGAGAAAGCTGGAGGGGGGGGAATGCAATTGAGTATCTCTTAGTACAGGGGTCTCCAACCTTGGTAACTTTAAGTCTGGAGGACTTCAACTCCCAGAATTCCCCAGCGAGAAACTCCCCATGTGCCACTCTCCAGAATTCTGAGAGTTGAAGTCCTCCAGGCTTCAAGGTGCCAAGGTTGGAGACCCCTGTCTTAGTAGACAAAATAAAATTCTTTTGTTAGTTCAAGGTCATTGAGTATGGCACAGAATGAAATAATCTTATTTTAGGATGGATCGTGATTGGGCCATGTGGTGTGATGATGGTGTCATGCCCCTGTTGGAGTCTGATTTTGAGGGGGAGATTGAGCAGCTGACAGGGAGTGGGAGTGTGGCTCTGGTGGCTGTGGAAGAAAATGGGGAAGTGCACAGCCCGGCTGGGCATTCAGAGGAAGACCCAGGGCCATTCCCTCTTCATCCTAGGGCACGCAGGGAAGAACGGAGAAGGGAGCAACATGGCTTACGGGAGAGGAAAGGGCCCTGATCTCCTTCATGGGCTGCAGCTGGGAAGACTGTTTAAAAGGGCAAACTGCGCATAGCAAAATTGTTGGAAGCAAAGCATGCATTATCTTGGTCGAGGCTTATCACTTATCTGGGTTTTGGCGTCCTCCCAACTGTGGGTGCTGTGTTATCCTTTGAAATTCTGCAATTTATCATCCTGGCCTGCTGTGTTAATTACTTCAGTGTAGTTTGCGTTGAGTTTTTTTATTTCTAATTATCTTTACTTTGAGCTCAGACTGCATTTCTGCCCTTCCTTCGTAGACTGTTTTTTGAAGAGTTTGATATCCAGCCAAGGATAATTGGACATTGGGGCCAAGTTGGAGGCATTAAAGGGAATTTATTCTACTTTTGTGACTTCGTTATTTTTGTGTCACGTTCTGGGTCATCACAGGTGGCCAAGGGGGGATGGATTTGTAGTTTTGAATATTGCAAGGAAGCTCGAAAACTTTCAGATTCGGGATTCCACAGATGTGCCACTATCTAAATAAAGCAATCTTTGAGAAATATCTGCCTCGGAGTTATTGGCTGGAAAGGAGGGTAGCTGGAACGCTGACAAAGTCTGCAGTACCTGCATTCTAACCAGGGATGAGATGAGCAAACAGGTTCACTCCAACGATCTGCTACTGGGCCTGCCTGCCTGCCCCGGCTCTATTCTGACCTTTATTTCCTGCTTTTCAAGCTCAGCTGTTTCGCGCGGCACAACCGATTGCCGCGCGCCAGCTGTTTAACACACAGGGAGGTTGTAGGATTGCAAGAGGTCAGTAGCAAACCCTCTGCACGCGTGCGAAAGGCGTGTGCAAAGCATGCACTCACCGAACTGGTTGTTACACCGGTTGAGTCGCACCCCTGAGAATCTAACCAATGCGCCACTGAGGCTCATGTCCTTGGTTCCCACAGGAAACTATTTTGTTTTGTCTACAAACCCCCATCTAACTATGTACCCCCTCCTTATCCCTACTTTGTACTGTGGCAATACCTGAAGCCTCCAAAATGGCCCCAGCCAGGTTTACTTCAGAGTTGACACGATAGAAAGAAAAGTCGTAAAATGAGGCAAAACTGATTTAACGAATTTCTCGGTTAGCAACATAAATTCTGGGCTGGATTATGGTTGTAAGTTGAGGACTACCTGTGTTTTCCTCGCTTACAGTAGCCAAGGGGGGATAGGGGGGATGAGTCTTCCTACCAAGATGAGGTGGAGCGGTTGCTTTCATGGTGTGGAGACAATAACTTGGTCCTCAACACCAGTCAGACTAAGGAGCCTATAGTGGACTATAGAAAGAACAGATCAGACATCCAGCCCTTGCTTATCAATGGGGACCAACTGGAGCAAGTGGCCAGTTTTAAGTTTCTGGGTGTTACCCTAAAAGAGGACCTGATCTGGGGTGCTCACATTGCAGCACTGGTCAAAAGGGCCCAGCAGAGATTATACTACCTGAGACTTCTCAGAAAACAACAACTGAATGAAAAACTGCTGGTGACCTTCTACCGCTGCACCATAGAGAATATCTAAACTTACTGCACCTCTGTATCATTTGCCAATTGCACAGTGGCGGATAGGACAGCACTCCAGAGGGTTAATGTCATTGCTCAGGGGATCATGGCTTGCCCTCTCCCCTCTTTGGAAGAGCTTTATAGCTCTCAAGAAAGCTCAAAACGTTCTCAAAGGTCCATCTCATCCTGGGCACCCTTTTTTTGAACTATTACCATCTGGCAGACAGTACAGGATGTTAAAAACAAGTAGGCTGAAAAACAGCTTCTATCGTAGGACAGTAGCTCTGTTGAATTCTACTGTATAGTGCAGTATTGGTGCAGTGTCAGGGGTTTTTGGTTCAATGTGTGGAGAGTGAAGGATGTGTGTTTGTGTTTATTTTAATGGTCATGTGCACTGAAGGTGGTGTTTGATTTCATTGCACGAGGTGCAATGACAATAAAGTAAACTAATAATAAGTAATAACCAAGGCATTTCTGCCCCTTACCTCTGAGAGCTCAAGTTTGCTTATACAGCTAGTCCCCAATTTACAATTCCTTTAGTGACCGTTTGAAGTTACAACGGCAGTGAAGAAAAGTGACTCAGGACCGTTTTTCACACGACTGTTGTAGCACCCTCGTGGTCATGTGATTTGCATTCGGAAGCTTTGACAACTGACTCACGTTTATGACGGTGTCAATTTCCCAGGGTCATGTGACCTCAGTCGATGGGGAAACCAGGTTTGCTTAACAACCGTGTTTCTAATTTAACAGCTGAACAAATGTGGCGGCAAGAAAAGTCGTAAAATGGGGCCAAACTCAAGTTAACAAATTTTTCCCTTAACGACACACATTTGGGGGCTTCATTGTAACTGTAAGTTGAGGACTACCTATATGGGATTCCTTCCCTAATTTTATCCACGTGAGAACCCAGAGAGGTGGACATAAACTGGCTGTAAAGCACTATAAGTCTAAGTGCTATTGCTACAAACAGAATCAGAATAAAGCTGGAAGAGATCTTGTCCAGCCCTCTGCTCCAACAGGAGATGTTACCATTTCAGACAAGTGACTGTCCAGTCTCTTCTCAAAAGCACCCACAACATCTGAAGGCAAAGCTCTTTCATTAGTTAATTGTCCTCACTATGAGGAAGTTTCTTCTTAATTCCAGGTTGCTTCTCTCCATGATTAGTTTCCCTCCATTATTTCTTGTCCTGCCCTCCCTTTGCTGCTTTGGAAAATAAATGGACTCCCTCCTCTTTAGGACAGCCTCTCAAGTACTGGAATACTGCTATCATGTCATCCCCTAGTCCAGTGGCCCCCAACCTTTTTTGTGCCGCGCCCCGGTACCGGCATCACAAAATCATCCGTGGCCTGGTACCGGCATCAGCACGCATGGCAAGGCGAGCCGAGCGACTGGCCAGCCAGCCGTCCCCCGCTTCTCCCCGCCACCTTCAACTCCTCCTTTGTACCTGTGTCGATGGGCTTCGCAACGGCTTCGCAACGGTCGCTCGGCTCGCCTTGCCATGCGTGCTGAAAGAATCCTCGCACCTTAGTTTTGTTCGAAGCCGCCGCCCCCCCCCCAATGAAACTAAGGCGCGAGGATTCTTTCAGCACCCAAACGCCGCTTTCTACCCGGAAAAGCTCACCTGAAGCACTTTTTCATCAAAACAAGATGGCGGCGCCCAGCAAACCGGCGGCCCGGTAGAAATTGTTCCACGGACCGGTACCGGTCTGGGGACCAGTGGTTGGGGACCCCTGCCCTAGTCCTTCTCTTCTCTAGACCAGCCAAACCCAAATCCTGCAACCATTCTTGATACATTTTTGTCTCCAGGCCTTTAATTGTCTTAGTTGCTCTTCTTGGCCCTTTCCCCAAAATCTCAATATCTTTTTTTCTAATGTGACCAAAAGTGGATGCAATGTTCCAAGGTGTGGCCTTATATCTTCCTAGTATGATTGGACTGCTTATTGTACCCTATGACTATCATTAAGTGTTGTACCTTATGATTCTCAACTCTTGACGAATGTATCTTTTATGTATACCGAGAGTATTTGCCCCAAGACAAATTCCTTTTGTGGTCCAATCACACTTGGCCAATAAAGCTATTCTATTCTATTTCTATTTTCTATTTATTTTCTGTTTTCTATTTCTATCTATCTAAGGTTTTATAAAGCAGTTGTCAGCCTTGGAAAGCCATATTTTACTTGGAAACTTCAAGGCTCCCACATTTAAGTGCCTGGGAATTTGGGAGGGGGGATTTCATAGAGAGGTGAAAGATTAGACTCAACGACATTCTTTCTCAGTGAGTCTGGAGAGGAGTGTGTGGAGATAGGTCTACAGTTGGGACGAGGATCTGATTGGGCCATGTGATGGACTGGTGGGTGCAGGGGATGCATTTTTGAATTTTCTTTTGGGAAGGGAAAACCCAGAACGCTCAGATTGGAGTTTTCACAGATAGGGCCAGTATGACAACTCTAATAAAATGGAGCTTTGAGGAAAATGCTCGTCTCGGAGTTGATTGGTTTGGAGTTTGTTAGTTGGAACGCTGACAGCGGTACTAATACTTCACTGTGGTTTTGATTCTGTGCCTCTGTTTATACAACCTAGGATTATATTAGTCCAGTTGTCTTTGGGACAGCCACGACCTGGATGACTAAGAATCTCCATAGACAGTTGGGGAACCGATTACTGCTTCTATCGTGAAGAACATGGCATTGTGTGTGTGTTTCATTTTTCCTGCAGGTTATTTTATTGTTTTTATTTGGGGTTTCTGGGACCTGTAATTACCGTTTATTCGTTCTATTAAATGTGACTATCAGCCAAGCAAAGTACATGTGCCCCGAAAGTGCTTTTGTACGGGAGAACTTGTTTATTTCCTGTTGTATCGTCTGCCTCTGATCTGTCTCGTTCTCCATTCTTTACAGAGAGCTACTAACTTCAGTTTGTGACTGCCTTGTAATTTAATCCTTGACTTCCTGAGTGGGGCCGTCACTCCCCCCTCCCCCCAAAAAACAGAGAGAGAGAGAGAGACCAACGTACTTTCAGTTCGATTCTAGCCATTCAGACATTGTGGGAAGAAAGCCATTGAGACGGGAGATGTTTCGAATCTTATTGGAGACAGTGCTGACCCCAGGATCCCAAGGGTCGAAGGAGGAAGTGGTGGATTCAGCGGGGGGCCTCGAGATCCCCGAGGCTCGCAGCCCTGGGGAGCACTGGGAAAAAAATCTCAACAAAATCCAGAGGGAAGAGAAAGGGAACTCCTACGTCCAGCGCCAACACTTCCGGCAGTTCCGCTATCGGAAATGCGCCGGGCCCCGCGGGGTTTACAGCCAGCTCCACGACCTGTGTTGCCAGTGGCTGAAGCCAGGACAGCACACCAAAGCTGAGATCCTGGACCTGGTGATCCTAGAGCAGTTCTTGACTATCCTGCCTCCCGACATGAAGAGCTGGATCAGAGAATGCGGCGCCGAGACCTGTTCACAGGCGGTGGCCCTGGCGGAAGGCTTCCTCTTGAGCCAAGCGGATGACAGGAAGCCGAAAATGCAGGTGAGGGCAGCCTTTGGTGGGACTTCTCAAAGGACCGTGAAGTGATTTGAGATTCGCGTTCCAGCTTGGGAAAGGCGCGCGCGGCTCATGGAGAATCTTGGTCAGCATTCCTTGTGGAGGAGATTCTGAGAAGTTTGTGTTGCAGAGGGAGCAGTGGCATTGTTCTGGATCACTGCCTTCCACCAGGATCTGATCCGAACCTCCAGATGCTGCCTCCAAAGAGCTAAGCTGGGGGGGGGGGAATACAGGCTATACCCCCCTCCTTTCCCCCCTCAGTAACTTAAAAAACTTTTCTTCTTCCTAGTTCCAAGGGGATGAGAATTACACGGTTTCCCTCCAAACTGCTGCCAGCTGCAACAGGTGTTGGAGGGAGATCCTTAAAAGAGAAGGTCTTTTTTTTTTTTTTTTGCTCTCCTGTTCCCACCTTGTATGGATATCTGGTACTGCTTTTGCAGGGCCTGATTGTGGATGCTTCTAACGATTTCCCCAAAATTAAGAAGGAGACTCCCTCAGACGCAGAACAGAGACAGTTCTTCAAGCAGATCTTAGAGAATGAAGATGCCGTGTTGCAGGGTAAGAATCCAAGAGATAGATAGATAGATTTGTGGTGGTCTTCCATCTCTCCGGGCAAAGAGGTAACTTCTGGATTTGTCAGGCTGGGATAGCTCTGGTGAATTTCCAGCGTTTGGTTAAAAAAAAAAAAAAAGTTGAAAAAATGCAGAGCCTTGAGGGGGTCCTTAGTGCGCTCTGCTTTCTTGCAGATGGGTTGCTTTCTTGCAGATGTTTCATTACCCTAACTGGATAACATCATCAGTCCATCCTCAGTCCCAGCACTGGTATCCTAGTCCCGTGATGGCGAACCTATGACACGCGTGCCACAGGTGGCACGCAGAGCCATTTGTGCCAGCATGCGAGCTGCAGGCAAACTTACCTCACTGCGCATGTGCGCGCCTCACAGCTGATTTTTGGGCAGTTTGAGGCCTTTTTCAGCTTGAGGAAGGCTTCTGCAAGGCTTCTACAAGCTTTGTAGGCCGAAATCTAGCCCCGTTTCGTCACTTCTGGAATTTTAGGAAAAAACAGGAAGTGATGAAACAGGGCTAGATTTTGGCGTACAAAGCTTGTAGAAGCTTTCCTCAAGCCTTTGGGAGGCCCAAAAAGGCCTCAAACCGGCTGAAAAATCAGCTGTGAGGCGCAGTGCAGGTAAGGGGGCAGGGGCGGTGGGATTGTGCGCGCATGTGTAGGGGACGTGGGGGGGTCCCACGGTACCTTCTGGGTGCTGGCACACGAGCGCAAGCGTGCAAGCGCACGCAATTTTTTGGCACAGGAGCCCAAAAATGTTAGCCACCACTGTCCTAGTCCTAGCCCTGAGGATGTTGCCTAGTTACAGTAATGAAACGTCTTGCAAGAAAACAAACAAGTTCAGAGAGCACCAAGGACCCCTCATGTCAACCCTGAGCTACAAATATTTTCCTTTATTAGATGCAGATGCCTTTTAAACTCGTACGTCTGTTTTTCTCCACCTTGGCGACTTTTAAGATTACGTGGCCTTAATACAATTTTGACTTGCGCTGAAATGGACAGGCTAACACTAGAGATGAAAAATAAGAATATTATATAATTTGGAATAGATTTTACTATTGGTAGGGACAGAAAGGAAGGGTTTAAGATGGAAAAGAGTTGTTAAGAGGACATCTGTGATCAAGAGACTTAAATCATACCAAGAATGTTGGAAGATGTAAGTAAGGATGAATAAGTGTGTGTGTGTGTGTGTAAGATTTATAGTTTTATTTTACTAGAATGATGAACAAAAATTATGTCAAAACGATTCCATCACATTCAATGTTTTTTAAATGTTACGTTTTAATAAAAAAATAAAATAAAAGATGGACTTAAAAGTGCGATATAGCAGGCTGAGGAATTCTGGCCATTAAAGTCCACACCTCTTAAAAGTTGCCAAGGTTGAGAGGGTGGCCAAGACCACACAATCAAACCCTTGACACACACACCCTTTTTTTTCTGTGCCCATTATGAGGGAAAACCAGCCTTTGGAAGGGTGGGAGCGACTTAGCAAGGTAGAAACGTAGAAGGAATGGGCGCTCCTTGAGGCAACCTTGAAGTCATCAGTTCTCCTCACAAATTGCTATGGCAATACAACTGATGCATTTCTTTCTCTGTGAAGACAACAATGCTTCCCTGAGGATAGAAAGAACATAGAACAGAATAACAACAAGAGTTGGAAGGGACCTTGGAAGGTCTTCCAGTCTAACCCCCTGCTTGAGCAGGAGATCCTACCCCTTTTCAGACAAATAGTTGTCCAGTCTCTTTGTGAAAGCCTCCAGTGATGGAGCGCATACAACTTTTGGAGGCAAGTTATTCCACTGGTTAATTGTCCCCACCGTCAGGTTATTTCTCTTTAGTTCTAGGTTGCTCCTCTCCTTGAAAGACGGGGAAGTAACTTGAGGATTGCTCATTATTCATGCTTTACATCATCTATTACCTACACATATGTATGGCTGTATCGTTTTCTTCCCCTTTCCGGAAACTGTATAATTGTATAAATACAATTGCAGCCTTTCGCCTGGAGGCATATCCCTCCCGCCATTTTCTGAAGGGATTTCCTCCAGGCCACACTGAATATATACTAACCACAGTGAGCTTCTGATTGTGGAAACCATCTTGAGGTGTTCGATTATCTCCCTGTGCAGAAGCCCCCCCCCCCCCCCCCGGTCACAGCAAGTATTACAGTTAAGTGTCAAAAATAATAATATGCACCCCTATTTTTGTTCAACAGAAATAAGGTATCTGGAAGCTGTAAGGGAAATAGAATGTCAGCACTTGAAGTCCCAAAATGGCTTCAGTCAGGTCAGCTTCAGGGTTGACAACTTACGAACCGAGTCTGGCAGTAAAATTTGAAAAATCTCTTTGCAGTTCAAATACATCATATTTCCCAATTGTTTAAAATGTGTGGAGGGGCTGAGGGGCTTTATTTCGGTCACTGACTGGCTTTGAATACCTTAACGCTCATGGAAATGAAATGAAAATATAAATACAGGAAACCCGCAACTTACAGCCATTCGTTTAGTGTTGGAAGTTACAACTGAAAAGTAACAACAACTCTTTTTCTCACAATGGTTGCAGCAGCTCCATGGTCACATGATCAAAATTTGGGCAACTGGCTCATATTTATTTATGGTGGTTGCAGTGTTATATGATGCACTTTTGCGACCTGACAGGCAAAGTCCATGGGGAAGCCAGATTCACTTTAACAGCCGTGTTCCTAATTTAACAACTGCAGCAAATCCACTTAGCAGCTGTGGCAAGAAAGCTTCTTAAAATGGGGCGAAACTCACTTAACAACTTAAGCGAGAGAAATTCTGGGCTGAATCGAGGACCTAAGATGAGGATTATCTGTAACACAAAATGGAATAAAAAGATAGTAAATAAATAATAGTAAATAAATAATAAATAGAACAGAGATGAATTGCTTTTCAACACCGAGATTACTAGCACTACAGATTCGGTGAGAAAAAAAACTGTAAATTTAATAAACTGGAGGGTTAAGTTTTTAGTTATCCCTTGGGAGGGGGGGATGAGTCTGCCTACTGAGATGAGGTGGACCGGCTGCTTTCGTGGTGTGGAGACACCAACACCAATAAGACCAAGTAGCTTATAGTGGACTAGAGAAGGAACAGATCAGACATCCAGCCCTTGCTTATCAATGGAGACCGAGTGGAGCAAGTGGCCAGTATTAAGTTTCTGGGTGTTACCCTAAAAGAGGACCTGACCTGGGGTGCTCACATTGCAGCGCTGGTCAAAAGGGCCCAGCAGAGATTGTACTACCTGGGACTTCTCAAAAAACAACTGAATGAGAAACTTCTGGTGACCTTCTACCGCTGCACTATAGAGAGTATCTTAACTTACTGCACCTCTGTATGGTTTGCCAATTGCACAGTGGCAGATAGGACAGCACTCCAGAGGGTTAACATCATTGCCCAGAGGATCATGGGTTGCCCTCTCCCCTCTTTGGAAGAGCTTTATAGCTCCCGCTGCCTTAAGAAAGTTCAAAACATTCTCAAAGATCCATCTCATCCTGGGCACCCTTTTTTTGAACTATTACCATCTGGCAGACGGCACAGAAGAATAAAAACAAGGACAAATAGGCTGAAAAACAGCTTCTACCCCAGGGCAGTAGCTCTTTTGAATTCTACTGTATTGTGCAGTGTTGGTGTGGTGTTGGGGGGTTCCGGTTCAATGGGTGAAGGGTGAAGGATGTGTGGTTTGTGTTTATTTTCATGGTCATGGTGTGCACTGAAGATGGTGTTTGATTTCGTTGTACAAGGTGCAATGACAATACAGTAAACTAATAAAACTAACACTTGTCTTCACTACTATTACTGTTAATCTTCTCACCACTCCTTATCACCCATCCCCTCCCACTTGTGACTGTATGACTGTAACTTTGTCGTTTGTATCCTAACGATTTATATTGATTGTTTCCTAGTATAATGTGATTGCTTATTGTACCCTATGACTATCATTAAGTGTCATACCTTATGATTCTCGACTCTTAACGAATGTATCTTTTACGTATACTGAGACTATTTACACCAAGCCAAATTCCTTGTGTGTCCAATCACACTTGGCCAATAAAGTATTCTTTCTTTCTTTCTTTCTTTCTTTCTTTCTTTCTTTCTTTCTTTC